GAATATAAATGAGCACGAGAGGCAACTCGACACCGCTAGAACAGAAAAGCTATGTAAGATCGAAGGTTATCTATAAAACATTAGTGATACCTGTAATCGGTCTTCTCCTGATAGCCATGGTCGCAAATGTAGAAACCTTTTCGTTGTATTTGAATTATATCACCTTTTTTCACATCTCGCAGAGCTGGCTCTCCCAACATCTTGGTGAAATGCTTGAATGGAGATGATCATAAACAGAGTAACACCAACCATAGTTGAGGATAGCACGTAGATAAATACTCACCACGGAATCGTAATTGATGAAATGTTTCCAATCCTCATCTTTCCCGATGATCGCTTTGTCAATGATGTGATCGTAATCAGCTGCTATGACGGGAATGCAAGTTGCTACAGACGAGTCTGTTTCAGCAATCCACGTTACCTTCATAGTTTTCTTGAAGTCCTGAAAAGTTTAAAAGTATTTAATGAGTTTCTTAATCCTGTACAGAATTCCTTATACCAACTGTACATTGTTCCACAGGATTGTCGTCTAACGTATTCAATGAATTTAACATCTTCAAATACCAAAAAGTGAGCCAAAAGAGACGAAGAAACACGGGTACCTACCTGATTAGCGAGATCGAGTACTGCATGTATTTGTTTTACAGCGTCCTGGCTCCTCTCGATGGAGACAATGTTTATGTTTCCCCAATTGACAAAGGTTACAGTATCGCCGGATTTCATCTCGAGTGCATCGGCTTGTTCAACTAATAATTTCGCACTCCGCCAAATCGCCTTCTTCCCAACATCAGGATTCTGAGACATAGACATTATGAGAGAACTTTATCATTTTTTCATTGTCAGAAGAGGGCTTGCACCAAACGTGAGAGACTACCACATTGCCCGAATTTCACGAAATGACTCTTAATTTGATTTCAAGAAAATCCTACCTTTGGATGGAGAGGAACTTGCACCTCCTCCACAACAACGGGAGTAGAAATGTAGACAGGCACTAGTGATGTAGATTCAAGTGCTGTATACCTATAATAGGGAACAAAGTGGTCAGTTTGAGGGAGATTGAGTATGACCAGTCCTCTGATGAGAATGGGTATGACTTCAAAAAGTGACGCACCTTGGTGCGATAGGGTCAATCACTTTCTTGTTGAATGACCATATTTTGTCCCATTCCATCATAACAACAGATCTCGAGCCACCCTGGGCAATAATGAACTGGCGCAGACCTTCAACAGTCATTCCACGACGCATAACACCGCGAAACAGTGGGAAGGCGCGGATCATCCCTCAATTTGGACGTATTATTGAAAAAAACCACATCAGTAAAAAGTAGAGCAACTCTTACCACCCTTCTACTAGTCCTTCCTCGACAAACCATGTTAGCTTCCGTTTACTCATTACTGTATTGGTCATATTAAGACGCGAGTATGACCAAATATGAGGCTTACGAAGGCCAAGGGCGTCACAAATGAAATAGTACTGATCGTCTCTAAAGTTTGATAAGTGAAATTCCTCGTCTATCTGATTACAATATCAAGACTGGCCAAAATATACCTGTCATGGTATTCAGTAGTACGAAGTGCATGCGTCACACCCTCTAAACTGTCAACAATAGGACAAGCGAAATCGTATGTTGGATAAACTCTGAAACACTGCTGAAGAGATCTTTTGGAATTACACCTCTATGGTCTGTACTTGTCTTTTCTAAGCCGTTAAGACCCAAAAAAGACATCTGATGCGCCCACTGATTGCTGTTGCCTTTCAGGGCTACACTCTCCCTTCATATAAATAGACCAACAATGCCATAAATCTACTGTTAGGAGCTTCGTGAAAAAAATCGACTCCATAGAAAAAAGTCTTGCTTATGAGCTGACATCCCTCTAGATCCACACAAATCATGCTGTGAACAATCACTAATACACTTGCCATTACGCTGGGTAATTCGATAACTCTCGGTGGCTTCTCAACAACTTGTGCATTTAAATTCTTTGCCTCATGGTAAACTCGTTCAAGAAACCACTCAACGTCCTAATGAGCACTTATGTTTCAGGAGAAGTCAATTCCATTGACAATTCTTATCAAGACCCTCTCAAAATTATCACACAACACGAAGAGATCGTGATGATTTGATAAGTCATGCCATCACGATAGCCAAAAAAATAGTTTCCATATGGAATGAAGAAAAGTGAAGATGTTTCATATAAGGATTCTTATATTACACCAACAAAATCGTTGCTAAAAGAAGGGGAATAGATAACATACTTGTACTTTACTCCTGTTCGGACATGTTCCTCGGGCTTGCACCTGAAAACCGAAACTTCAGCTTCTTTTCCCGCTTTTCTGATAAAGCAATCACACTTCGAAAGACCAGTGTAAAATTATTACTGACCTATAAATCGTTGGGTCTCTCAAAGCGCCGTTATTGGATTTATAATCAATTTGATTCGAACACAGCACTGCAAACCACTCTCTGAGCCCTTCTTCATCTCCTCCCAGAGAGCAAGACACGTTTCAGGGGCTAAATGAAAAAAAAACTAGGATTTCAACGATTCAAATTCACTAGTCGAGGCATAAAAACGTTTAAACCAGCCAATTTCTGCAATAAAAAAACTGACACGAATCTCGATTTTTGCTCGGAATTCGCTCCTCACGTTCCTTGCGCATTGTTTCTGTATCGGTGTCATCCACGTAAGCTTTTCCTTCCCGTAGTAGTCTTTCGCACATCTCTAACATTATTTCGAAATAGTCCGAAGAATGAGTCCAGCGTTGAGGAATAACATTTAGCATAGCGAGATCTTCTTTGATAACCTGAGATCCAGTTTATTTGTCCAGATATTCTTTCAACAACACGACACACCTTTTCGAAATGCTCGTTTTCCTTAGCAGGATTAGTGTCATCAAATCTCATGATGAGTTCTCCTTCAAACGCTTGCTGATAATACTGGTTCAACAAAGCAGCTTTGGCATGACCAATGTGTAGATATCTGAAGAATCAAAGCAATAGACTCTTCTTATTGATAGAAAGGGATTAGAATCACTTCTTATAAAGAAGTATCAATATAAACAAAAAGATATCCTACCCGCTAGCTTCGGGTGGAAATCGCACGACCACTTTTCCTTTCTCGGCGCCAGGCAGCTCAACAAATTTCCCTTCGTCTTTCTGTTTCTCTTTTGATTGAGGCTTCAAAAGAAAACATTGACAAACCTCCCTCGTGAGGCAAAAGAATTATAATTGCAACGTTACTTTCACAATCCCGTCGACAAACTTTCCAACCATCTTGTGAGCTACAGCAAATCGACAATCTTTGAGGATAACATCAAAGAGACCAGTGAATTTTCCTTGCAACTAGAGAAAAAAAAACATGATAAATGGTAGTGCGTTCTGAAGAGAAAAAAAGGCTAAACCTTACAGACGGATTTTTAGCTATCAGGCTCCAAAGAGCAACATCTGCGACAGTTACTCGCTCTTCGAAGACTGTACCGGATTCGCTCATTTCCACTCTCGATAGCACCTCTTCGTCACGTAAAAATCCATCAACGACTCGTTCACACAATGTAAGCACCTCGTCAATCTGCAATAAAGAATATGTTTGTTGCATATATTGAAGAAAATAGCACTAATCAGACCTTTGCACATTCCAGGCACGTTTCACCAGTAAAATCGGCAAGGTCGAGGCTTTGAGCGACAATTCTTGCGACTGTAACATCGTTAGCGATAACGTAACCGTCTCTAAACAGCAACACTGAGTTCCAAGCAATGAAACCAAGACCGCAACGTTAAGGTTAAGAAGGATAAAGCTTTCGGTGCCGATCCCTGGAGGATGCGCTATGCAATCTATGTTGCTATATTTTCATCTAGCACTCTATTTGAGGTGATTCGATGCATGTCTAGTCTTTACAATGACTCTTGTTGGCGTGCCGATGAATCAAGTCAGTGCTGCTAGTGTATAGAGACTGTTAATGCCAAAGCCCTCTAAAACAGCATACACACAGGAATAACCTCATGATAAAGTAGAAGATCTGGTGATCATTGGTTACATTGATTGCTTACTCCGTCCGGTGGTCCCACTTGTATTATTCAAGGGAAGACTTATGAAAAGCGGTAATGTTGCAAGCCGACTTTGTGCTTAATGCGACTGAAATCCGGGTCTGGTGACTTTTCCAAAGGAGTAATGGAGATGTTGGACTGATTGGATTGTGGAGACAACTTGATCCTTCCAGGCTCTGAAGAAGGCGAGACTGTCGAAACGTCAGCTGTTTGAATAGAGATTGTTATAACAACTTGTGTTTGGCTTATGAGGTAAACAAGGAAAGTTGACAGATAGTCGGTTTCGGGGAGTTGTTACAAAGTAGAAGGTCGACTTTAATCAGAATATGGCCTTCAACTGATAAAGTACCTGGTATTTATCTCAGAAGAAGGACTTTGAAGCATTGGAATCTATATTATCCCTCAAACCCTTGCAAAAGTAGAGATTCTCAGCGTTAAAAAAAATTTATCGAAGAAAGAGTGATAGCAAAGCGGCGGCCTCGCTGGTGCAGTGGTAGGACGTGCCTCTGTTATTGGTGAAACATGGGTTCAACTCCCGACTGGGGACGAATGTCTTGCATACCAGTCAGTACTCTTAGATTTATCTTGAAGGATTGAGAGATATGAACATGAAGAAAACAATTTCAGCAGATGGTGACCTAAGAGGGCTTACATGTTCAGTCCAAGCGGTGTGTCATCGTTGAAAGCGACGGACAATTCTGGATTGTATCCTCCGGCTGCCATTGCAAGTACGGCGGCATATGGAATCTCACCACGTTTGGCATTCAGAATAAAATCGTGTTGGGTCATTAGTACAGTCTGCAAGCTTATAACGAATCGTGTACAAAACGTTATAAAAAATCTCGAAAGTAAATCTAAAAACTCTTTCGAAAGGCAAAGGAAAGAAGGAGGCTAACGATAGACGTAATTGAAAAAAAGGCAGTGAGGAAAAAAAGAAAACTTATAAGCCTAGGAAGATTGTCGACCTTAGGCGGAAGTCGAACTCATGTTTCATCCTTACCAGAGCTGCGTGCTACCACTACACCACCAAGACAACCGCTCTACCACAACTCTTTACTCGACATGAACTATCGAAGCTATCAGCATCTCGGCTAGCTATCGGCTTTGGTCTGGTAAGAACATATCGGCATTGAACCCCATCTCAGTTGGAAACTTTTTCCTGCATGTGCAACCTGGATTTTCTTAATTTACCGCTTTCTAGCAATGTTATGGTATGATGTTGAAATGCACCGGTAAGAGAGAAACGCGGGTTCAACTCCCGCCTGAGGTCGGATTTTTGCGCACCACTCAATCGTACTAGATGTACACTCCAACATCATTCACCGATTCTGCTGCTTCAACATCATTCACTGATGCTGCTGCTTCAAAACCATTGCTGGAAAGCGGTGAATTAAAGAAATTAGGCCGTAAATGTAAAGAAAACGTAATAATTCCGAAACAGCTGGTAAGTTCAGTCTCGTATATATAACGTTGAGCTATCGCCGATAGAGGAAACTTATGAATTGAGGCCGATGCATTCCATCTATTGAATAAAGATAAGTGCAAACACTCAGGTATGAAAATTTCGATGCTTTTCGGCTATAAATTAACAAATGAAAAATCGACCTCGTAGTTCGTTGGACAGGAATTTTTCATAAGAGTATTAAAAATCATTCGAAAGCTTCACTCTCTGGCTAGAGCAGTTAGCGGCCAGTTTTTCAAAAAGACCCTTTTATGACGTGGTAAAATTCAAAATAAAAAGCACGTTTCACATCGGCCACGCAATTCAACTACTACTTTACTGGAAGCATGAAAAGCACATGAACGTTTGGAAAAAACTCGTAGTACCTGGGTCTATCGTGCAATCTAAAGTTTCTTTAAAAGCGGAAAAGCAATTGCCAATTGAATGCCAAATGTCGCACTTTCATGCGAGAAAATCGATCGATCGTCGCGACAGTCTTCCTTGCCGCCTCACCCCACGGCCCGTGAATTGACCAAAGAACACATGATCGCACATATAAATCATCTTATTTTCCCTGCTACACTACAGTGGAGCGGTCTTTCGGAAAACAAGCACAGCGTTGGAAACCTTGAATCTTACGCTTTCGAATGAGGACTAGTAGTGTGAAGGAGAAGAGCTCTCTTCGGCGAGGTGTAGACACAAATCTTTTCTTTCCGCTATAGCGCTATGAAAAGAGTTCTTCCAGAAAACACATTTCTGAGTTCTTGAAAACTTGTGCTATGGAAAGTGCACTAGGGGCTAAAAAGGAGTTTTGTTCGGAGATATATGAGCGAGATAAAGGGAAAAACGGGTGGTCGTGTGAAACACAATTTTGTTTTGGATTTCACAGCGTTACAGAAGGGTGTTCCAGAAAACCGGCCACGTAGCGCGCTAGCCAGAGATGTAAGCTTTCGAATGATCACTAAGACTCTTATAAAAAATTCTTGTACAACGAATGAGGTCGAATATTCACTTGCTTCCTTATAACCGAAAAGTACCAAAATTCATTCAAAAGGCGACGCAAGGAAAGAGCATAACCCACGACGTAATTGAAAAATGGCAATTAGAAACAAAGAAAACATAACTGCCCCGAAATACTGGTATGTTCAGCCTCGCATATGTGACGATGAGAGATCACCGATAGGAGGCATACGAATTGAGGTCAATGCACACATTTGATGGGCAGGACAGATGCCAACGTTCAAGTTGGAAAATTCATACGAAAGGAGAAGCGAGGGAAAGGTAACGATTGATATCGATTGTTAAAACTTTTATACTACAATTAGTAGCTTTACTTACTTGTATGAACATCACTTGGAGGGAAAAGACGAAATTCGTTAGGAAGACACCAAGCTTGTGTTTATCGAGGAGTATCTTTCGTTTCGAGTGCTTTCTTATAGGGAACAGCTCAAATTTCAATATGCCTGCTGATTATTTCTGAGCCAGCTCCAAGCATGTTAGTGGTCTATCAAAGAGGGCTGACTTATAGAACCTGATACACGTGTTTCAAATTTACGATCTCATCAGTCGGCAGTTACCCATTTCCGTCTTTTGCCAATCTTTGTTGATGCCCCATCCCCACACTAAGAGTTGACGACGACGAACGTTTTACACTCTATGTCCACTGTAGTTATAACCGAACCCACAGTGTACACGCAATTGCTCATGACTAGTAATATAAAAAATTAATACCATTCGTATCAAGTGTTTCCTCAAAGCCACAGCTTAAATTTTGAAACAACTGAAAATACTGAGATTTGAGCTGTGTTTCAAGGAAAACACTCGAAACGAATGACATGATTTATTAAATATACTGGCCAAGAGCAATCGAGTGTACAACACTGTGTGTTCGGTGATAACTACAATGGACATAGAGTGTAAAACATTCGTCGTCGCTAACTCTTAGTGAGGGAAGGGGCACCCACAGAGATTAGCAAAAGACGAGAATGAGTAACTGCCAGACTGACGAGATCGTGAGATCAAAACACGTGTATTGGGCTCAATAAGTCAGCCCATCAACAGACCAAATGACATGTATGGTTCAAAAATCATTCTTTGGCATATTGAAAGTCGATAATTGAGTAGTTTTAATTACTTATCATAGTATCGGCGCAGGTAAGTGATCCTTTGATTTGATCTTCGAACGACGTCAACCCCTAAGTTTTCCTTTAAAGTTTCACTCCTTGGTAAGTCATGTAAAATTTCCGAAGGAGGTGTCGAATAGGGACTGGAGCACTCACACAGGATTAGCAAAAGACGAGAAAGGATGGCTGAACGACTGACGAGATGGCAAGATCGAAACACGTGTATCGGGCTCTATGAGTCAGCCCTGTTTGGAATAGACCACTAACATGCGTGGCTCAAAATAACTACCAGACATACCGAGAAGTTTACAGGCTCTGTGTATGGGTTTAAATTATTGGAAAGGGTTAAGAATAAGAGAAGAAGCACAATTACCCCCAATAGATGGCACGTTCAGCTCCTCTCAAGTGTCATAACGCGATAGATCATGCGCATTATGGCCAATGCATGCTGTTCGACGGACGTGAGGATAAACTCACTAACAGATGAGAACAAAAAAAGCCAGCAGGGATAACTTCCTTGAATAACTGGTACACCCCAGCTCTCTCGTACAAGGCCATGTCGCCGAATATGGTAGAGGCCTACGCATTGCGGCCAATGCATGCCATCTAACGGCTAAAGAAAACCGACTGCACAAATGGCGAAGAGATCGCGACTGTCACTCCACCGGGGAAATAGGTTGGTAAAATCAGCTCCCCTTCAAACAACGCTGAGAAATAACCAATACGGTAGAGTTTACGAATTGAGGCCAATGCATGCCGTCTAACGGGTCGGCCCAAATTAGCTTCGGACGTTGAGAGGCGCAAAATACAACAATTTGTTTGTTTCTCTGACTCTATTTGTCTCAAATGCTCAAGTTTCTCTTACTTCTCTTTCCTTCTTTTTTCTCTGAAGAAAGGTTGGAGACTGACCACTGAAAATTCCATGTGACTGGGTTGAGATGGCGCGAATTCAAACGATTTCAAGTGGAGATAAGTCATCTAGAAGTGTGAATGTTACGTAAAGATTCGACCATAGTCGGGAATTGAACCCGCGTTTCATCCTTACTACCGCGAACGCGTACTACACACTACACCATCGAGGCCATCGATTCGCTACCACACTTTCTGCGATATGAACTATCGTGATAACATTGTTGTATCTTTTTTTCATGGACTTTTTATCGTACTTTGTTTACTGAGCTGCCAACATGCGAAAATTTGAGCACGGGTTCGTCTGGGTCCATGAGGGCGGGGAAGGGGCTTGCATCTGCCTTGAAGGCAAGTATCTCTAGGAGAGTTTGCTGCCAGAAGCCTTAGGGCTCTCTCCCTCCCTCACTCTCCCTTCATCTCTTCCTTTCTGTCTCTTTCTCTCTCTCTCCCTCCCTCCCGCCCTCTCTCTCCTTTCCTCTCCCCCCTCCCTCTCTCTCTCTCTCTCCCTCCTCTCCTCCTCCCTCCCTTCCTCCCTCCCTCCATCCCTCCATCCCTCCATCCCTCCATCCCTCCATCCCTCCATCCCTCCATCCCTCCCTCCCTCCCTCCCTCCCTCCCTCCCTCCCTCCCTCCCTCCATCCCTCCATCCCTCCATCTCCTCCTCCTCTCCCTCCTCCCTCCCTCCCTCCCTCCCTCCCTCCATCCTCCATCCCTCCATCCCTCCCTCCCTCC